AAATTTGCTTTCCAGGAAATTTTCAAGTGTACAGAAGTGCCTAAGGCAACGCCAGACTGGTTTAGGGTGGGAGACGCTGTGAAACCTTTTGATGTTCAATGACCAGAATGTGAGAGCTCAAAGGTCCCCTCCAGGTGCTCCTCCACACCTGAGAGTTTCACTCCTGAGCTGATTCCAGGCCTCAGCTTTATCTGAAGTGCTTTAAATTCAGATTTAGCTCAAGTGTTTCTGCCCTGAAGTGGTCACTTCACACCCAATTTCTGGTTTTTGTTTTTTTTTTTTTTTTTCACCACACTCTCAGCTCTCTCCCACTTGATCTCCTCATCACCTGATTCCTGCTCTGAGCACTTTCACTGTTTGAAATGTGATTAATTAGGGTTTATGTTTATTCACATCCTAATCAGAACACAGAAATGTTTCTGGCTGATGCTGTAATAAACACTCTGCACAGCTGTGACAGCAGCCAAAAGAATAAAGATTTACATTGGCAACAGGAGAGAGACTCAGGCTGCAAAACTCAGATCTAGAATCAGATTTAAGTTTAGCAAAGTCTTGCAGAAGACATTTCTTTCTAAACCCATTTCTAATACGAATATTCAGAGCCCAGAGTTATACAAGGATATTTGTAGGAACACTGAATTTTACCCAAACAACAGCGTAACAAAGCACCTCTTGCTTTTGCTTCCATAAAATGTGAAATTATCTGCACAAACACACTGAAGCAGTGTCTGCACAGATTCCAAACATTATTTCCACTTAAATATTTGCAAAAGCCTTGCAGCACAAAGAACAGGGTTTCATTTTGCATTATATCAGAACAGCTTACCAGGTTTAACAGCGTGGCCACGCAGCTGGGGCTGCAGCAGCATCTGCAGCATTGCTGGATTATTAAAACTTTTCATGATCTGCACTGGATTTGGCTCTGGAAGCAAACCTTTCCTATTGTTCCTCATCTCCAATGAAGAGATAAAAAGTGTTAGAAGCAGGAGAAAACAATGAATGCATTTAAATCCCTCCAACACCAACAGCAATGTACACATTTCATCTGACACAGAAAAAAACCAAACATTTCCTTCCCTGTTTCCTGCTTTTTTTCCCCCCTTCAAATGAAACACCTAACAAATGATTCCAACAAAATTTCAAGCACATTTCCTTTTTTCCCTTAAACCCAGAGTTATCAGTACAGGAGAATAAGAAATGTTGCCATGAGCACCATATCTTAGAACAGACTTCTCATCTCTTTTACAGAGATGTGGTCTGAGCTGGCTGAAGAGAGGGAACTCTTCTGCCTCTCCATGAAACATTGATCACATCCAATTTTCTAGGAAATAATTTGATAAGACATGTGGGTGTAAAAAGCTTTCTTCTACCTCGAGCATGAAATGAACTTATTTCTCCTGCCTTGAAATTTATCTTAAAGCTGACAAATTCTTGCCTCTGTGTTTTAAACCAAGTTTTAGCTCGTCCAATGACTCAGTCCCACTTTTGTTTTGAGCTGGAATGATTTCTCTTACAGATTACATTTACTAAAATCTCAGAGCTACGTGGGTGTAACTTTGTGGTGTTTTCTGGATATATTTTATTTTCTTCCTGGCCATCTCTGCCTAGGAAGGAGCCTGAGCTGGGCTGATGATAGAGAATTCCAGAATGGTTTGGGTTGGTTAAAACCCATTGAGCTCCAACCTTGACCATGAGCAGGGAGTTTTCCTCTATCCCAGGCTGCTCCAAGCCCTGTCCAGCCTGGCTTTGATAAACCCCAAAAGCTTCCTAAGCCTGGCTCCTTCTCCTCACTGTGCAAAACCCCAGCTCAGGCTTGATGAGCTCAACCCAAAGAGATTTCCAGGGATTTCACCTGCTGGAATTCTGGAAACTGGGAGTTTTTGAACTTTCTGTGCTCAGGCACTGACCCCCAAAAGAACACTGCATTTGACCTGAGGCCATGGAGAAGGTTTCCAAAATTGAGTGATAGAATTAGGATCACGAGTGTGCAGTTTGACTAGAAGTGTGTGATATCACAGAGCGAAAAATTTAGAATTTAGGGTTTTGGAACATAGCAATATATAGAGAGCAAAATAGAGGTTTTAGGGCAGAGGTTTCTTTCTTCTTCACCCCCTTCTTCATGGGTCTGGGTGGTATTTTTGTAATTGGATAGAAAATGATAGACTGCAGGTCATGGGTGTTTGGTTATTGGATCAAAAGTAAAAATAATTCAGGTGGCATTTGTTAATTGGACAGTTAGGCCTTAAAAGACCTTGTAGAGAGAGATATGTCTCCATTTTTATTTGTTAGCTACAAGTGCTGCAGCACTCACTGTAACATAGATAAGAATCAATAAACATCTGAGTCCCAACAAGAAACACCATCTCCTGCACATTCAACCCCGACCCTGGCAGAAGCAAAAAAATTCAACAAGTGATACTCACCATCCTTTGTGCTGCTATCAGAGCTGCCAAGGTGCTCCTGCCTGGTGCTCCAGGGGCACAGAAGGACACCTGGACCCTCCTGCCGTTGATGGTCACCCCGTCCATGGCCCCTCTGACGCTCTCGGCCTGCTCGGCGCTCTCGTACTCCACCACGGCAAAGTCCCCGCTGCCACCGTCCTCATCCTGGGCAAACTGCAACAACGACAACAACAACAACAACAACAACAACAGTGCCAGCACTGCATGGAAAACGGCAACTCCTGCAGCTGCCCTGCAACGCTGGCACTGTGGGCACACACGTTCACAGAGCTAGGGAATTCCAGCTTGGGAATTCTCCTCAGGAATGGATTTCTCCTGACTCTCAGCTCCATTGCCAGGCTGACAAGCTGACTGCAGCTTCAGTTAGGGAGGAAATGTCCCAGGGTGACAACATGGTGACAAACAGAGTGGAATTCATCAGCAACATTAACCCCTGGTGTCTTTGCCGTGTCCAATGAGCTCCTGTCCTGTCCTGGCTGCACTGACACACTTTAAATCCGGGCTGTGTGTACAATAAATTGGCCTTTTTTCCCCAAAGAGCTCCGTGGGTGTTGCTGCCCTTTCTCTCTCTTTTCAGCCCAGTGACCACATGGCACCTGCCCCTTGCAGGATCTTGCACAGCTGGCACAACCCAAGGTTAATATTTCCCCCCCAAACCATGAGGTTTTTGTCTGGAAATGCTGGAAGTAAGTTGGATATCACATCCTCATTTATTTGGCATTCATGGTTATCTGCTCATTCCTTCCATTATCTCCTCCATTCCCACCTTCACTTCCATCTCACCTCGTGGAGAACCTCAGCTATGAAATGCATTTAACACATATTTAAACAAAACAGCAATGAGAAATGAGCTGTAAATACAGCTGGATGCTACAACCAGTTTTATTTTGCAGGGATCATTATAAACTCGTTATTCTTCATTTTTTTTTTCCCAGCCTGCAATAGTCAAAGTGTCGTTCATCAGGGTGCATGACAGCTGCTGAAACATGCAACAATGCAAATTCCCCCAGGATCTGGTGCCTTTTGGGAGCATGTGAAGGCTGTGGTTGTGGGGAATGCCAAGAGAAGATGCCAGACTGATCAATCAAGCAGACTGGAAAAGGGCTTACGTGGCAAACACTGCTCTGCCCTTTGTGTGCAGACTTTGAGAGAGAATGAGCAGATTTAAATCAAACAAAAAAACGGGGTGAGGAGGGAGGGATGAAGCTTAGGCAAAAATCTCCAGTCCCTAAATGAATGGGAATGATAAACTGATAGCAGCTCTGGTGTGGAAGAGACAAAACCTCCTCCAGATTGCACTGGATAAAAAAACAACCTCAGCCCCACAAACTTCCCCTGACAATGGACATATAAATGTCAAAGATTTGGAAGAAAACCAGGGTGGTCAGATCTTTACTGGCACTGTTACAGCCTGGCTTCTGAGCAGAGCTCTGGAGAACACATATTTCCTATATAAATACATTTTCTATTTTATTAGATACCAGTTTAGGTGCACTAAGATCTGGGTTTGAAGCTATGGAAAACCTGTATTTCAGTTTCAGCTAAAATGAAACTTAACATGTCCCAAGTGCAGCCACCAATATTCCTGCAAAGGATTCAGGAATTTTTCAACTTCCCAAGTAAACAGGTACTGAAAAAAAGCTCTTTATTCAAGAGTGAAGACCTTTCAGTGACAATTTAAAGTTGACAGAAGAAAAGAATGAGGTTTTCTGGTCCATTTTGTTGAAACGAAGGACAAAACACATTTTTCCTAATATCCATGTGTAAGTATTTAGCTTCAGCTCTTTCTGACAGAACATTTCTGTTGTCAATAGAGGAGAAATCAAAATGATTTTTTAAAAAAATGGTAGCTTTGGAATAAGATGAAATAACCCAGAGTTTATTTCATGAGTTCAGGTAAGAATTTTGGGTAAATGATTGTATCTACTTGATGAAATACTGCATCAGCTCCCAGCAGAACTAAGCCATGGCAGCACCACAAGAGCTACATTAAAGTTTTCCAGGAAAAAAAAAACCCCAAACTTTTCTCAAATTCCCCCCACACTGAAGTTTCTGCTGCCCTGTCCTCTCCCACATTTCTGTCTCTACCCACCCCATCACATCCTCCCCTCTTTGCTTTTTCCACCTTTTCTTGGGTCTTCCTCCTCTTTCTTTCTTTGTCCTCAATTTTTAGGTCATCTCACTCATAAACTCCCTTTTTCACCTATTAAATCTGAACTATTTGTTTTCCTACCTCCACCCTCCTGTATTTTATAGCAACAGGAATATTTACTGACCTAATGCAGACACTCCCCTCACCCACACCAAGTGTGACCCAAGATTTATTATGATTTAAAAAAGTAAAAAGTCAATTTTTGAGTGTCTCTAACTGCACAGCAGAGCTCTGCCACTGAAACACATCCTTCCCCAAGAAGTCTGTTATTCTTTGAAGCTCAGAATTTTGAAAGGATGGTGAAAAATTGTTGGGGGAGCTGATAACAGCCCCCGGATTATTTGACAGCTGGAAAAAAAAAAAAAGCCCTGAAGGAAAAGACTTTAAAGGATCAATCTGTTGAGCTAATTAAACAAAGATTGAGCAGGAGACTTGAGTACAGCATTTAATACCTTCTTACAGGAAGAAAATAATGGGGAGCAAAAGCTCCTTAATTTAGGGATCAGTGAGGTGAGGCTGAAGCCAGACACATTCCCAGGCTCGAGACAAAAATTGCCAGGAATGGGAATTTTCTGGGAAGAGTTTATTCCCATGTGTTCATCTCCTGGTGTGTTTGGATCAAGCAAAACCTAAGGATTTATTTTGGCCAACTCCAAGTTGCTGGGGCTGGAGAAGAGCACCAAGGAGGGTGGGAAGGCCTGCAGGGGGTCAGGCTGCAGATCCTGCTGCACCTTCTGCTCCTCAGGCTGGGGATCCCCGGGTGCTCAGCCCTGGGCTGATCCCTGAGCAGCCTTCTAGGAGACTTAAAGGGAAAAAAAACAACAAAAAACCCCCAAGCCTGCAGCTGAAGTCTGTGTGATTACAAGCAAAGATTTCCTCCCACTGTTTATGATGATTTATCTGTGCCACATTTATTTGTGGTCTCCATCTCACAAGCCACGAGGATGAGAAGGAAACTTTTGCACTACAAAGGCAAGGATCCACCTCTTCTGTGCTTCCCAGCTTTCCAAAAGATGTGTCACTTCTATCCCTGGCAATACCCAAGAACCCAAGCCTGCATCTTCCTCACCTAGGGAAAAACATGTTAAATATGAATATATTAATTATATGATGTATTTTGTATCATCTGAACTGTTGCACTTGTATTCATACACTCTGGCTTTCTGTGAGCAATAAAACCTTCAGCAATGTTTACTTTAAAAGCTCTCAAAATGCAAATTATTTTCAGTAGATGACATAAGGGGATAGTAAAGACATAAGGGGATGTCTTAGAAACATTTTGCTGGTATTTTACTGGAATGGTGTCCTGAGGAATTCCCAGACACCACGGATCAAGCACTGCACACCCAGAGCAGTTCAGCATCACTAACTCCCATCACTGAGAAGATGCACAAAATAACAGGAAAATAAAAATAAATAGGAAAAATAAAAGTGGAAAGACAGCAAGAGTGAAGTGAGGCAATCCAGCAATCCCAACCTTGGTTTTCCCATAAGACAGAAACCCAACATACCTGACAGAACACAGGTTTGTACTTGAGGGAGAAAGCCTGCATCAGCTCTTTCGAATCAGCACAGTCTTTTTGTAATTTATCCACACAAAGGCACTTGGAGTGAATGAGGTTTGTGGTCAGCTGGTTCACATCCATCCACTGTGCAAACAGAGTGCTGTCCTCCAGCTGCTTGCCCAGCAGCTCCAGCCTGGCCTTGGCAGCAGAGTCCTTCTTCATGTACTCCACAAAGCCATAGCCCTTGGAATGGCCGGTGAGCTCGCTGTACACCAGGAAACATCTCTCCACATTGCCATAGGCACGCACCAGTTCCTCAAACTCCTCTATGCTGAGGGAAAGGGGCAGGTTGGTGATGCACAGCAGAGCATCTGTGGGCTGCAGCTGCACGGAGATCTCCTTGCCACGCAGGGAATGCTGGTGGAATTTCCTGATGGCGCTCTGGGCCTGCTCCCCGTTTAACAGGGTGACAAATGCTGCAAGAGAGCAGGAGTGGGGACATCACCTACCCCAGGCACACCTCTCCCTCCCCCTGAAAGCACGGTGAGAGCTGCAGGCTCACCCCAAACATGCAACAGATAAATATTTCTATTATATACAGTGTATAAAACGTCTAAATTCTGGGATTAGCAATTGAACATCATCAGCAATTAACTCAAAAAGTGACTATGCTGTGCTGCACACAACTTGGAACCCAACCAGATTTTGTATCTGGGGAACAAAATTAAATATTCTACTAGCAGACTATTATTTACTGAATTAAATATTCCACTGATGTCAACACATCACAGATTCTATGGAATCTCTTTGACAGCAACATCCACAAGTTCTCACTTTGGGGTTAACAGATCTTTTTTGGGGGTTTTCAGTCCATAAAACATTTCACACAATCCCAAACCAGATGAGGGTGGCAGGGACCTCCTGAGGTCCCTTGTCCAACCTGCTCCTCACACAGGATCACCCAGATGGGTCCCCAGGATCCCAAGGGATGGAAATTCCACAACTTCCAGCAGTGCTGGGTGACCCTCACAGGGCAGAAGTGTTTCCTGATGCAAACAAACTGCAAATGCACCTGAAGCTGGGCAGGTTTCCCTGTCAGGCACAGGGGGTTTGTCCCAAGAGAGGCCTCAGGACCAGCTTTCCACAGGAATTCAGGCAGCTGAGGTCAGCTTGGTCCCAAAGGGACACTCACTGAACAGAGACCAGAGGGGACCAAAAAACTTCTGATCAATACCAGAAAGTTCCCAACTTTCATTGACTTTGGTAGAAGGTGACAAAAAAGGGACTGAGGGACACCAGACAAGCTGTGACAGTCCTTGATGGCACACACAGCACATGATGTTCCTCACAGAACTGAAACAGATGAAAGTTTTAAGTTCTCACCTGTTCTTTTATTCCTGTCCACGTAACAATACTTGATTTCATAATCTTTAAACAAGTCGTGGATTTCCTGCAAGGGAAAAGTACAAGTGGAATCACATAAATAAGTCACCAAACCAAGCAAGTGTACAAATTTATCCTCTTTTCAAACAAAACCAAAAACTTTCCCAACAAACAGAAAAATTCACCATAGAAACACCATCAAATATTTGTTTTCAAAGGAGTTGGTCACACTGCTGCAGCAATGTTTTTATCTCACATATAAAACTGGCTTGTTGAATTTGATTAATTTACTTTTCATTCTCTGGGGTCACATAAACACAAAAGGGTGTCCTGGAACTGTCTTTTGATAAAGATAAATAACATCACAGCTCATTAAATAGCAAAACCCTCTCCATTTCTCTGAAGTACAACTGGCATAGCTAAAATACCACATGGGCAAGGAACACTGGCAGCATCACATCACCAAATTTATCGAGGGCACAAAGCTGCCCCAAAACCCAACAGTTGCTTGAGTTTCCTGCTCAAGTTCACTTTAATAGATTTTCACTCTTAATAATGGATATTCTTTCACCCAGCAGATAATTGTGGCCAGAGTACCCCCTGGAAAGTATCCTCTATCAATTACTACACAGCTGCTCAACACAGAATCAATCCCAAGAGTGTTATTTGCTCCCACTAATTAATGGGAAGACAGGAGGGATAGGTAAAATCAAGTCTAAAAGGAGTTTGCTACAGCTATTCCCAAAAAAACTAAGGTGCACATGCTCCAAAAACCTCATAAATTATTGCCAGCTCAGTTGTGACAAAGCAGAGATGAACATTCACCACCCCAAGGAAAAACCAGAAGTAATAACCTGGATATTTACATTATTTTAGCTGGATAAATCCCATACACAAGAGTGCAAGATGATTTCTGCAAGCAAAAAAAAAAAAATTCAACCAGCTCTGTCTGAAAGTTGAATTGCAGCTGATTTCCAGCAGCTGAGTGTAGTTGCCAGTTTGGTAATTTAATATATGGAGCCTAAAGGTTAATTGGGTTCTCTGTGAGGGGTATCAGGTGCACACCTTTTAGTCAAGAGAGCACCAATCTCTGGTTTCACTATTTAACAGCTGTCAAATACTGCATTAATAAAATATGGCAGCATTTCTCCAGCCACCACACCTCCTCCAATAAGGTGTGATAAGGATGGGGTTTCTGAAATGCAAGATATGCCCAAAATTCAAGCCAGGGAGGGGATCTGAGTGTGGACACCTCTCAAACGAGAATTAGGTGGTTCTTTCTCAGGTGTGAGACACTGAGAGGACACTTTCTGTACAGTTTTGGCAGCTCAGTTGTGATGTGTCACTGAAGAGTCCAAAAAATCGTTTCTGTCCCACTCAGAAAAAGAGGGGCATATTTGCCCTTTCGATTTCCTGTATTATTTTACAAGAGCAACACTGAAAGTTTTATATGACGGTTAGGTAGCAGGAAATAGAATTTCAAACAGCTCTGAACACTCTTTTTAAAGTCATCTGTGTATCAGATGATTCCACATGATTTCCCAGGAACTGCCTGAAACTCTGAGAGGAAAAACAGCCACTACTGAACAACTCTTTGGGGAATAATTATGAGATGTCATATAAAAACTGATGAGAATATATAAGGGAGATTTAAAATAAAGCCTGATTTAAGCACAGAAATTTTAACACCAACTTCCACAGGTGGCTGCACACACTGCCAGGTTTGTGCAAAAGGTTCTTCCAGGAACCTGGTTCTGGTTCTTGTGCTCTGGTGGGCTCTTGGCAGGGCTGGGACCTTCACCTGTGGAAGTGGGGCTGTGCAGGGTTTCAGTGAAAGCATTTCTCACATAAACACTGCTCAGGAGGGTTTACAGAGATAAAACACACCCTGCCAACTCCAGGGAAATGTGTACTCCTTGCAATTAAACAGCTGTAAATACGTGTGTTACACTGAGATCTCTCTGCTTGCTAAGCCAGGCACTTCTCTAAACTTCACCTCCAACATCTCCCAGCACTCAGGTCCGGTGCAAAAGAAGGAACAGAGCTCCCATTGTGATGCTGTTCCCAGTTTCACTCCCCACTTCCAGGGCAGAAGTGTGAGGGGAGCAATGGGAAGGGCTCAGCTCTGATGGCCAGGGTTGGCCCAGCAGGAAATGTCGGCTCTGGAGGAGAAGGGGCTCAGGCAGGTCAGGTAGAGAGAGTGAGACCCTGCTCCTGCTAAGGAATGTAAGCACAGGATGTTTCCCTGAGAACAGAAACAAACAGCGCCGCTGCTTCCCGTTCCCCGAGCTCCCCCGGAGCTCCTGCACCCCCAGCCCAGACTGGGAGAGGGAGCAAACCCTGAGCACTGAGCTCCGAGCTGGAGGAAAGCAGGAGTAGATTCATGTAGTAGGACCCCAGCTGGTCTGGGGGTTAGGGAGGGTTAATGAATGAGATTTGGTTAAAAATCCAAACAGACAGCAGGGGACAAAACAATACTTTAAGTTACAAAAATCGAATTACATTCGATTATTCTCACCTTCAAACTTAAAACATTCCCATAAACTGACCCACTGCAATACAACAAGTCCTTACAACACAAACTCTCAAAATCCTGGCATCCCTAACCATGCACTAACAAAAAAAGAATACATTAATGAGGTTCATAAAAGATTGATTTATAGATTTTCAAATACCATTACAGACTCCACAATCTCTTGAGGACACATTTGTGGCAGAATGATACCTTCACTTTTAGTCAATTTTTCCTCCATATAGAATTACATTTTATGGCCAAAAGACCAAGTCATTTGTCCAGTCACTGATCAGAACTAAGCAGCATCCAACTGGCCACTGCTGTCATAATGCAAGAAAACCTAATTGCTTAAAGTGTGGATTTTCAGCTGCTAATTGAACACCTTCATAAAAAAGCAATATCTTCCCCCTAGGTCCATCAGACTCTGAGTGACACCACACCTGAGCAGTGGCCACCTGCCCCAGTGCCACCACCTTGTCCATGCTCCAACATCTGCATCCCAACATCCTGGTGACAAAACTGCTCCTCCTAAAGGGCTTCTTCCTTTTTGATAAATCAATTAAATCTGCTAATCTAAAAAACTGACAACTCCCACAGTAACCTGCATTTAACCTCATCCTATAAACAACAGCAATATTTACCAACACACTGGAGGCTCGAGTGTCACACATTGGACAAAGCAGATTTTGACAACAAAAATATCAAGCAGTTCTGTCTGGTTCCTTTCAGCCTAAACCATTGCAGGATTTTGTGCTCCTGGAAAATAAAGTATAGCTACTCTGCAGCCCCTTTAAGTTTTAAAACATATAATCTTGTCATCAGTACAAATTAAAATTGTAACTACAAAATAAGCAGTCATATGTGAAAATTAGCAGAAAAAGGAAACTCAAATATAATAAAGGGAGTTTAAGAGAAATCACTCTTTATCCTATAAAAAAGTATATTATTTTCTACTGTAAATGTGGTCTTGAAATACTTCAGTTCTTGCCTGTCCTCTCTTGGGTAGAAAAACTGACAACTGAGTTTCCAGCACTTATTATCAATTTGAGACTTGCACCTCTGAGACAGAAAGAATTCCTTAGAGAGGCTCTTTGTGTTTAGTACCTGCATTGTTTTAAAAACAAATGAGAAAGGGACTCATTCACAGGCACATTGATCAAATTAGTAAAACTCACTGGTTTATTTCTAATAAAAGCAGCTTTTCCTACACAGACTCTCAAAGTGTAAGGGAAAAAATAGCCAAGAAATTCTCATTACTCACCTGGAAGAATAAATAAAATACACATATGAATGTATATAAAGCCTGCAGCACACCAAACTCAAGCACTGTTCTCTCTCTAGATGTAAAACTAGACTTGATATTAAATGTAATAATTGTGCTATTCTGGCAACAGAATATTTAACAATTCTAAGGGTGCCTGGCCAGATTTCTGCAGTGAGCTTTAGAGAAGTCTCCAATATAAACACTCTCCAAGCCTGGTCTATAACTTGGCTCTCACTGAGCAGCTGAAGGCCTGAACTTCACATGAATATCCTTGAAATGGGAATCAATTAAGTTTAAAGTAGTTACTTGGCTAACCAAGAAGTTTTAAATCATCTCACAGCTGAAAAAGGCTTTGTTCCATTTGTGCAGGCAGGACAGGAAAAAGAGAACCTCTCAGAAAAAAAAAAAAAACAAAAACTTTACACTTACAAAATTATAAAATGGGGTGTTCATTAGAGTCACATTTTAGGCTGCTAAATATTTGAGTTCATGACATGACACATGGATTTCACTGCAGATATTACATAAACAAGAAGTAGAAAACAAGAGAATATTGACACAGTTTAAATAGTGTGTTACTAAGGGGAAAACCCAGAGCTCTGTTGGAGAGCAAGTGCAGCACTCAGCACCAACAAAAGGGTTAATAAAAAAACCAAAATTATGCACAGTGCAATTTTAACCATCTCCTGATCAGATAGGTAGGAGGGCCTCAAAATTTCATTAATTGCTGGATAAATCCTCTAAGAAGTAACATTTCAGGCAGACTGGGCTCACCACACGTCTTCCTTCCCAATTTCCAAGTGGATTTCAGTGCTGAGTTGAAGGAAGCTCTCAGAGGAGCAGAGCTGGAGGATCCAGGTGAGATGTGGCAGATGTTGACCTGCCCAGGAACAGCGAGCCCTGAGGTGTGTCCCAAAGCTCCTGCTCAGCTCATTCCCACAATCCCAAACCAGGAAACCTGAAATGCATTCACACCTGTCATTCCGGGCCATAAAGTGCTTTTGGGGCAAACCTTTGTGTTTGGGAATTGATTCTCACTGTTTTAAGATCAGAGCTCTCAGAGATCTTTAGTGAAGTAATGTAAGAAAATGTGAAGACAGGAGAACAACAATTTCTCGGTGGAATGAAAAACTTTTTCCTCTGATCTTCCAGAGACTTTTGGGAGTGCTGTTGGTAAGAGGATCTTTATGGGACTGGAAATTAATTCCATCATCCTGGGTATATTGGGTAGTGTGAGAGCTAAATGAAAGAGGGAAAAGACATAGAAAGAGGTAACTTGAGAGAGCAAGAGCTCAAAGCAAAAGAAAAGTAACAAAGAAAATTTTAAAATGTCCATCTTAAGGCATGAGAGCTGCTCCCTCTGCACAATGTGCCTTTCATGTTCAGGCAGTGTGACAGAGGAGTAATGAAAACACAAAGGCCCTTCTACTTAAAGGTCTGGCATCCAACAGATTGGAGAGAGCACTTCCTCAAATCATCACACCTCATTAGAGGCTTTCCAACAAGGAAAAATGATGGCTAATCCAGGGAGAAAGGGAAAAAAAAATGCCACAACCCCACCAGAAACAGCACCATGCTAAGTAGTGATTTGGCTTTTAATCAGGAACAGACAGCAGAGAAAAAAACTGAATGGGTCCATCAGGTTCCAAAATAAATCCCTGTCCCAGGAGAACTGGACCAGGTTTGTATCAACACCTCAGTGTTTCCCTGCTCTCTGGATTCTGTCCCACCCCAGGAGAACCACGGGCTGTTAAAATAATTCACCAGCCCTACATTAAAGTAGAGCATCCCCTCCATCAGATTTATTTTGTAGAACTGTGACATGGTGGCAATTAGGGATAATCAACACAAAAATGGTTGGGAGAACGCATTTTCTACAGCATCTTCTCTTATCTACAAAGAGGAGAAGCAAAAAGCCAACAGCTCTTGCTGGGCAGCTGATCTTGGCACAGAACACTGGAGATTTGGCTACAAATCTCAGTCGTGATGAACAAAAAAAAGATAAATAACCCAAGGTCTAATCTTCCCAGCAGGAACTCCACAGGACAGGAACTGGTATCCCATAGCAGAGTCTGCTGATGGTGTCTCAGTGATGAGCCACTGCCCCTATGGAAGTTCATCAGCCACAAAGAAGGAGCCACTAACAGTGAAAAAAAACAAAACAAGAAACAGGGGGAAACCAAAATCAATTATTCTAATCCAATAGGGTACATACAGAAAAAATTTAAATGGTAAAAATTACCATTTTCCTGGTTTGGGATGTGACACAATTCATTTTGTTCTTACTGGTTCAGGGCTGTTTTGACTTTAGGGTGACACTAATGTTGGTCACACAAGCAGAGCCAAGGACTTTGCAGTTTCCCATGCACAGGTGCATGGAATGCCAGGAGGGAGCAGAGCCAGCACAGCCAGAGGGATGCTCCACACCACACAGTGTCATGCCCAGTACATAAACTGGGAGCAGCTGGCACCAGTCACTGGGTGCTGAGCAACTCTGCTAGGCATCACTTGTTTCTCTTGGTTTTAATTCCTTCTCATTACAATTAATATCAGTATTATTTGTTTTATATTAATTTTAGGTATGTTTTATTTTGCTTCAATAATTAAACTGTTCTTAACTCCCAAGCTTTACTTTTGCTCTGATTGTCCTCAGCCCCAGAGCAGTGAAAAAGTGAACAAGTGCTGTGTGGTGCTTATTTGCTGGCTGGGTTAAAACAATACAAACTCAAAACAAAACTTCCTTTTTAGTGAAGTACAACCTCACTTCCATTCTGGTCATCCTGAAGTTCTTGGCATCTCTTTAGCAGAAAAGGAGAGAGGAAGGTGGAATTTCCTTCCCTCCCTCTGCTCAGAGCAGTCCTCCTCCTCCCCCAGAGCACTGGGAACAGATTTAGGATTGTTCCAAGGACCTTCTGGTTGCAATTTTTGCTGTTCCAACATCCCAGGGGACTGTGCTCCTTGCTGCTGGAATGGATGATGGATCAGGGAGATGCACACACACAAGACAATCCAAGAGATCCCTGCCCCACTGCCAAGCACTGCTCGGGATAAAAGCAATCACTACAACCACACTCACTTTTAAGTCTCTTGGCAAAGACTCCTGCTGCAAACATCAGTGTGACCACAGCACCACATCAGAGGCTATTAATGCTAACAGGAACAGGCTCACTATCTGCTGCTCTTCAAAAGGACTGACACCAAGGGGATGATCTTCCTGCACATCCCACATCACTGCCCTGCCCTAACGAAGCCATAAAATGACTGCTCTAAGAGCACAGGACACTTCCCCACTCTGGCAAGGACGGCTGGAATTGGAGGAGTGGGATCTGCCAAGGCTGCAGGAGCAGAGTGGGTCACTGCTCCAAGCTCCCATCCCAGGGAAGCTCCGTGCAGAAACAGGGAAGCCTCTGCTGATGCTGCTCCACCCTCAGTGCTGAATTCTGCCTTTAAGGCACAGTCACTGCTACAGATACCAAAGATCTGAAGATTGAGGGAGGTCAGCAACAGCCTGTGGCCATGTCTAGGTCATTATCGCACCACACATTTATATTGTGCTGGAGGAATCCCATGAGGAGGAATTTGGGGAATTTTGGCAGCTCTGGAAGAGCTCAACATCCACCAACTTGCCAAACAGCAAATGGAGACTCTGCCTTCAAGAACAGTGAAGATGTAAATTGTTTACCACAGATCTGCCACAAAAAAAAAATGAAAAAAAAAAAAAAAAAAAAAAAAAAAAAAAAAAAAAAAAAAAAAATCCTTTCTCCATGGCAGTAGTGAGAGAATTGCCTGCAGAAACACTGATCCTGCAGGTATCTATTTGCAGGTTGAGCTCTCCTCGGTTTCTACGACTGCAAACCCGTTTCTGGTTCAGAAACCTCAAAGGACATTTCTTCTGTGGCCTCAAGAGTAATTTATTTTTTTAATTTAGTTTAACACAGGTGAGGCTCCAAAGGTAATTGAAGATTACAAGTACAATAATAAAGTTAATATGTAGCTACAATTGGCAGAGGAATTATGAATTATATTCGTTATGTAACTTCATATTTAAAAAATAAGTTTTTTCCTACTTTTCTGACAAAACTAAGTATCTCCACCAATCTCTCTATCAGCAGAACAGTTATTTTCACTTCAAAACTATTTTGGTAAATCTTGACCTCACTCTTCACTTAACAACAAATGGCAGCAAAGCCAACACCCCAACGCTCAGAGATGAATAGTTACATTTATGAAAACCTATTCTGGGAGACTTGGCTGCCTTTCAGCGATGTTCATCTCCCTCTTGACAGTGTATAAAACTGGCCAGGTCAGAAACAGTTTATCTGATTTTACTCGGCTCACCAATTACTTCAAGGAGAAAATAGAAGACAACCCGTGTTTACCACGGCTGTTGTTAACTGGCAATAAGAAATGTCAAATTTCAGAGGAATTTTGGAATTATAAGACAGCCAAATACACAGGTAGACTTAACGTGCCTGACCACAAACACACCTCTTTCCAAAACGGCTCTAGGACAGAAACTTTCTCTCTACAGCACAATTTTTCTGCCTTTATTACCACCAGCAGCAGCTCAGCGATGTTAAAAACTAAAATGACAGTTTGGAAAGTGCACTTTAGGATCTGTACAAGGTGTTCAGGGTAACATTAGAACCTCACATACAGCAGAAAAAGGCATCCAAGTGCTGCTTTTAAGCCATCAAAACAAAAAGGCAAAACTTCCAGAAAACTCCGCGGCTGCCAAACTTGACCTTAATGTTGGTATTTCCCTGTAGCACACACTGGCTTGAAAGGTTCCACAGAGGCGAATTCCCACACGGGAATTCAGAAAAGGCCAGGGCTGAAGTGTCAGAGCTCTCCTGTCCTGGTCATGCACAGCCAGCATCTGGTGACACCCCAGCAAAGCCCTCTCTGTCAACACTGCCACTTCATCAAGAGACGAAGATTAGCAGCCTTCACCAAGCTGGGAGTTTGTTATCGATCACCTCATCGGGCTGCTATAAACAGAGGTGCCTAAAGCACCCTAACAAAGCTGTCATCTCCAAACTCTGAAGCACCGCGGATGCGAAAACAAAACAGGCAGAAGGGCAGCGGCCAGCTGGGCGCTGCGGCTCGGATTTCTGCGAGCCTCTCCGAAATGAATAGTCTCCTTTTTCCGCCGGAGTTCTGCAAAAATTGAGAGTCTGCACGTGCTGCTCTTACCCGCAGGTAGTGAAACCACCTGTGCTTTAGAGAGAGGGTGGAGGAAGACGAGGAGCAGAGCAGAACAAAAGCCGCACTTACTTTTTTCTTTTTTTTTTTTTAATACTTGTGCATCAAGTTGCGTGTTTGGAGCTGGTGAAGTGACTGTGCAACTAAATCACCTCAGCATCTGAGTCACAGCACTCGGTTGAAGAGTTCAGCGATCATCTCCTACCAACAGCAGCAATTTGAGCGGAATTTTCCTAAACCACCGTCAGGCTGCGGAAAACCGCTTTCCCTCTCTACATCTGGCTCACCTCACAATAAATAAAATAAAAGCCAGTCCGGAAGCTTTTCCGCCCAGATTTCGCACGGCAAGCGGCGGTGCTGCAGTGCCCTACCTGTGCGCACACAGGTGCCCAATCTCCGGCGGCGCTCCCGTTACCCGCTCACCCCACACCGAGCCCCCGCCTCACGCCCCGGGCCGCGTTCCCCGGGGAGCGCTGCCCGGCCAGCCCGGCGTGGCCCCCGCTCAGGGGCGAGCCGGAGCCGCTCTCCGCAGGTAACAAAGCCGCCCCACACACAGCCGGCTCCTTGCGGGGCAGCGCCGGGGGAAAGCAGCGCTCCGCGGCCGCCGAGCCCCGCGGGGGAGCCGGGGCTGCCCCGCGCCTCCCTCCCCGCTGCCGGCCCCCGCCTGAGGCGCGGGCGGGAGCGCGCCACGCCGCCGGGCGGCTGCGGGCAGCGCTGGCGGCCGTACCTGGCTGCTGCTCTCGGCCGGCAGGTTCCGCAGCAGGATCTTGCGGCGGTTGCCCAGCTCGCGGCGAGTGCTCGCCAGCCGCCTCGCCACCTCCTCGGCGCTCAGCGGCGGCGGCTCCGCGGGCAGCGCCGCGCCGCGCTCGGCTCCCGCCGCCATCTTGCAGCGCGCCGGGGACGGCGGGGGGAGCGCGGCGCTGGGGCCGCCCCCGCCCTGCCCCGCCCGGGGGGAGCCTGAGGGAGCCCCCGGGCCCGGCCCCTCACGGCCCCTCACGGCCCCTCACGGCCGCCAGACCCCGGCCCCTCACGGCTACAGGGATGCGGGGCGGCGGAGGAGACTCGCTGCCCGTAGCGGAGCTGCAGGGGGTGTGCGGCATGAACGGGAGCGCAGCGGTAATTTCACTGAACGGGGCAGGTTGGAAGGGAACGCAGAGCGGGCATCTGCTCCAAGCGCTCTGCTCAAGCAGGGTCATCCCGGAGCACATGGCACAGGATTGTGTCCAGACGAGTCTGGAATATCCCCAGTGAGGAGACTCCGGAGGCTCTCTGGACAATGCATCACCCGCAGAGTGAAGAAGTTCTGTCTCCTGTCTAGGGCAACTCCCTGGGATCAATCCCTGCCCAGTCTGGTGCCATTGCTGGGCCCGCGGAGCAGAGCCTGGGGCCTGCCCCTCCCTGCACACAGAGACACCCAGGGACAGACAGGGACACCCAAGGATACCCAGAGACACCCAGGGATACCCAGGGACACCCAGAGACACCCAGGGACAGACAGGGACACCCAGGGCTGAGGCCCCTCTCAGCTGGGGCTCCTCTCCAGGCTGAGCAGCCCCAGCTCCCTCAGCCTTTCCTGGGCACAGGGATGCTCCAGGCCTTGCTCAGCTCCAGGAGCTCCTGTCCCTGCTGTGCTGAGGATCCAGAGCTGGGCACAGAACTCCAGAGGTGCCTCCAGGGCTGGGCACAGGGCAGGATCACTCTTTGACCTGCTGGGAATGCTCTGCCTGAAGATCCCATCTTGTCCCCCAGGGCACTCTGCTGGCTCAGGGACAGCTCGTTGTCCACCAGCATCCTCAGGCCCTTCTCCTCCCTTCATCGTAATGCATCTCCAGAGAGATTTTTGGGAAGGATTTGAGTGCTCTGGGACTCTGTTGTGAGGGGAATTGCTCCAGGATCCATCCTGATGGAAGCCAAGGCCAGGGCGCTGTCCCTCTTCCTCACCTTGCAGGAATCATTCCCCAAATCCCCATCACTGCCACCTTCTTTGGCTACAGATCCACCTGGAGACACTGAAATACAGAACAGCAACAAAATAAAGCAAATCCCACAGAAAGAATTAGGCTGGAAAAGACTTCTGAGAACATCGAGTCCAAGTAAGTGAAGCCAAGAACTCCACTGGAGATCAGCAGGCACAGTGACCCAGAGTGATCTTATCCCAATTTTATTCCTCATCAGGAATGTGGCAAACTAAAATCCATGAAAATGGGGAAATCAGCACTTGGGTGCTGCACTGGTGACACGGGGGACAGGTACAGGGCTGTACCTGCCACAAAAAAGAGCCCAGCATCACAACAGAAGGACAATATTTCATGGAATCACTATAAAATAAATTTCCCCTTCCATGAAGTCTCGGCCCATAAAAAATTTCAATCAGCACCCACTTAAAAAAAAAATTAAAAAAAAATCAATTTTTCCTCTAGCATAGTTCCTTGCAATGTCATTTACAACGCAGTAAATCTAGCTCTGAACGTTGTCATCATTGCTATAAATGAGTGAAGAATAATTTAAATATTTGTAGCCATTTTTAGACACGAGGCCAACCACAAAGAGCAGGCAAAAGAGAATCCAGACCTGAAACATAAAGAGTCTTAAAAAGGAAATTGGAGGAACATTTGGAGTTAAATTGGGTATACGTGGCAATTCTTATCAAGAAAATATAATTCTGATGGATAATTCTTGACTAGGTTCAAGGTGCCATTTTAATTATCAGTTACAGATTAAAAAACTCCACCAAATAAATTATTTTAGAAATTGCTTTAGCCCAAACCAAGTTAAGAATACAAAGTATCTTGGACTTTCATTACTTCTAAAATGAATTTTAAAACCACAGTAATCAAAGGGATTTTTGGTTTATTATTTAAAAACTGTCAGCTGGCAAGCTTCTGTTCAAGGCCTTCCTTTTCCCTGTTTTTTCCTCAAACAGGTAATGTTCACCCTTTTTCAATATTTATATTATTTTTAATAAATAAAATCATTGGTAATGAGAGGTGTGAAGGGTTCATCGATGATGGGATGTAAATAATTCTGGGATCATGAAAAAGGAACACTTTTTTCCTAGGAATACTGAAACATGTAATATCTCCTCAAAAATTATCACCAGATCAAGCTATTACAGCAGAAATTATGGATCTGCTCAAACACCATACAATTTAGTGATGCTAATGAAGGAACTCAGGCAGAGTAATTAATTTTACCATTAATTTTCCAGTTTGAAGGTGGACACTGCTTCACCTATAACCAGTGCTCATTAATTCTACTTCTACCCACAGCAATTATCTCCTCAAAATTGCCTTTTTTTGGTCTTTTTGGATGGGCTGCAAGTGTCCCTGAATTTAAGTAATTAAAATTTAAAGTCCATTGCTGAAAGAATTCAGAAATGAATAGTTTGATATTAATGGCACAAACAAAATTCCTGCAGTAAATAATTCCAGAGAAACTCTAGAAATTAGGAATATATTCAGAGAATATATAAGATATCACAGAAATATACTTTTTTTTTTTTCTTGGTTAGGGATAGATATTTAAAATATTGTATTTTGTAGGTCAAAGTATTCATCTTTTCCCCCCAGGGCTCATGGCCAGGTGATATCAGCCTCCCAAAAAAAAAACTGTGCCAGGAGGAAGAGGATGCTGAGCCAAGGCATGCAGGTATTTCCTTAAGGAATTTCCTCCTGTTGGTCACAGTTTTCAATGAAACATTTTTATGACTTTGACTCCTTTTCTGGAGCTTCCAAACCAAACCCTTCCACGTTTATACTTTGATCTAAACAGTTTCCCATTTCCTAAAACACTTTCATTTGGTTTCAATATTGCTGCAGAAGCAAAAAGCATTATTAAAAAAATAGAACAGTCCAGTGTAACTTCAATTGTGCTGCTGCCCTGATGTTGTCACGCTGATAAACCACCTTGTAATAATTTTACTTCATTAAATTCCTTGCTAATTAAGAGTCATACACCCAACCCCAGCAGTTGCATTTGTAGCTCTCCTAAAAAGATAAATTTCCCTGTGCTTCTGCAGCTTTGGAAGTCATACCTGCCATAAATATTTTATAAATTTATGGAATCAATGTCAATTAGAATTGTAATTCCAAATATTCTTTTGGAATTACAGGTGCAGTCAGGCATCATTGTCCAGGTTGGGCTGGTGGAAGCTGTCCCTGCCCATGGCAGGGGTGGAATGAAATGGGATTTATGGTCCCTTCCAACCCAAACCAGTCCAGGATTCTGGGATTTTCTGGGATTCTACACCCAAAAGCACAAACAAATTCAGATCTGTGCACACAAAGTGAAAGCCAAGACTGAGAACATCTGTTGGATACAAGACCCACCTGATTCTCCCAGGTATTTTAAGTACTGGGAATGTATCTGTGAGCTCTTTAGGTAAGTGACAGCTTAATGAAGGAGAAATTAAAAAATCAAATGCTTGCTGCAGGGGGACGTGGAACCCATCAGGTGCTGCATATTCCATAAAAATAATGGGTTACCATCACCACTTCATGTCAGCAACACAAACATTGCCTTTTGTCCCTGCTGTTCCCACTCTTCCTGCTCCAGCTGCTCCTTTTGTTTCATTAAGACACTGAGGTTTTGAATCCAAAAGATGCAGATTTCCTTTTCAACACCAGTAATTAGTTTGGTGATGATTACCCACATCACCTCACAATACACACTGCATCCAAAATACACCAGAGGTGCCAAAAGGAGTTCCTTTAGCCTTTTTTCCCCTACAAATTCCAATACTTTTGGCATTGTCAGTGCACCATTCCATGACATGCCCAAACTTGGGATGTTTCTTTACTGCTGTTCTTCCATCCAGGCACAAAAACTCTTTGCCAAACATCTGAAGTGGAACTTGCTGGCTGTGAATTTGCTGCTCCTGAGTTTGGGAATGCTGGATTATCTCAGGAGCAGCCTGGTGAGCAGCTTCCACTCTTTTTAACTCAGTGGCCTGCAAATAAGTAGTAAAAAGGTGGGAGAGTTCAGAGTTGTTACTTACAAAGTGAGTAACTCCTGCAAGGAAATCATTACTGGGCTCTGCTGTAATGGGCTATTTTGGGACCTGTGGTCTCTGCAGCAGAATTTCAAACCTTTGTTGCCCCATACATCATCATCAGATCTCTGTGGTTGTGTTTAAAGGCAGCAAAAAAAAAGAGTAAACATTAAAATAAACACCACAAAGCAAAGCCAAGTTCTTGAACAATAACTGAGAACAAGGGAAAATGAGATCAAACATAAAATTCTCCTCAATAAACGGCCCAGATATTCACAGGGGAACCTCTGCAACACTTTCTCCTGAATCAATGCCCTCCCTGCTTTAAATCCCCATTCTTCCCACACAGGCTTTAGTTTTCCTCATTCAACTTCAAATTTAGTCATTAGTTATTGGCACCAAGTCCATTTTGGCAATTTTAGTATTAAAAAACATCCAAATGTTCCTTGGATTCCTGGCAAAAGTAGGTCCAGCCCCACATTCCCACCAGGAGTATTTTTATTGGCCAGCCCATGAATGTGCTGCAAATGGGAATTCCAAATAATTCAGTCTCAAATTGCCTAAAAGCACCAATTTTCTAGGAACTGGAAACAGATAGTGACAATTCACAGGGAATTACAAAATCATTTACCACTAAAAACCAGGGAGATCATAATGCTGGGGGTGAAAGAATTCCATAGGATAAATCCCTACATCTCCATTACTGCTCCTTGGATCTGGCTAATTATAAACCTGGAGGAAATTTGCTGTAATTATCTGAGGGATAGACTGGGAGGGAGCAGGAATGGGATCAGCAATTTGTTTGGAGAAGATAAACCAGTTCATGATTTCTCCCTGCCAGCAGAACCAGGATTTTCCAGCACCCTCACAATATTTTGTGCTTAAAAACTTGTCACACATGGAAAAAACTTGTTCAATATGAAAATCTGGCCTGAAGGAGGTAACACAAGAGAAACATTCCCAAAAAATTTATGAGGTTTTCAAATGTTCTGCTGTTCAGTTTTAAAAGGTTTCCATAGGAACTGTCACCCAATGTGCTGTGCCTGATTTCTCCATGTTCAGAGGGAAAAAAATCCATCCCCTTCCTGTTTTTTCCAGGTTCCCTGGCTGAGGTTTTTTTGCCTTATGGAGATTTCCTTAGTCCAGCTGCAATAGAAATAAACCCATTATTAAGGAGGTTGTTATTATTATTATGCAGCAATAAGATCATGTTAATTACTCAACCTTTAATCCCGCATGTGATTTGCATGAATTATGCCAAGAGAATGGATATTGGGAGCAACTTTGTGGAAGTGTCAGAATGTTGGAGAAGTGCAAGGAAGGATATTAAAAACTCTCTGACTGCATTCCCAGGTTCTGTTGCTGGTGCCAGCCCAATTTCATTACCTCGGTGCAATGGAAGAGTTCTAAAATTGGAAAAATCCATCAGTGTTGGCCAAACTGGAAATCCTTGGCAGTCTGATGGTTCAGCTGCATTTAAGGAAAGAGCACCAGTTTTGTCAGGACCTTGCCAACACCTTCCTGCAAAGTGACAAGCGCTGACTTGGCAGTTTTGGAGTCCATGGAGTTGTTCCAGAGGCAGGTGAAGGTGAGGTGGAAGGATTCCCTCTGCCCTGTGCCCTTGGCCAGCAGATTCCCTTTGCTGCTGTCACTGCTGTTGTCCCAGGAGAGGCAATCCCAGCAGAGGGCACCTGCTCAGGCAGTGCTGAACTGGTGGATTTGCCAGTGGCAGCTCCAAAAACCTCCAACAAAGCAGAGCAAACCAGGATTGCTCCTTCCCGGGGCAGCTCCCAGCATGGAAACGAGCTCGGGGATCACTTTTTCCACAGGATTTAGAAGAGGCCACTCTGAGCAGAAGAAAACCCTGAGATCCAAGACATGTCCTGCCTCTGCCATCACATGCCCACTCCTCTGCTCACAGTGTGGCTGTTCCAAAGGGGTATCAGTGATCCCATGGGATCCTTCCCCGAGGAGGAACCAGCAGTGCTTCTGAGCAAGGGCTGGCACTCACCCCAGCCCTGTCTGGCACCTCACTAACGAGGCAGGGCTTGGAGAACTTCACTCTTGGACTGCAGTGTCCAAATTCCACTGCAGCCTTGGCTCCAAGGAACACCAGCTCTTCTGGGCCAAGGTCCTTCCGTGCTCAGCTCAGAGCACAAAGCACAAAATCATCACCTCTCATCAGCCCCGGGGCTGCCAGGCAGGAATATGAAATATTCCATGGCACTGATGTTCCTTTTTCCCACTTAGGCTCTCTGGAAAAGGGAGGTTTGTACAGCAAAACAATCCAATGGTTCCTGAGTTAACTGCTGCAGGAATTAATATTCCAAACATCACTGACAGCCCAGTGCAGGCTCCTTTGAAAATCCCAGCCATAGCTGGGAATCTCTTTTACAAACAACTGAAATGGGCAGCCAAGAGCTGGGAACTCTGCAAATTCATCTTGGAACTCGCCAACAGCCTTTTGGATTACCTGCACTCCCTCAGATCCAGGACTTTTGCATCCTAGTTTTTTCTCCTTTTCCATATTTGCTGCCAAAGCTTACTCCCATAGTTTTTTTTTCCTCTGACAAATCCACTTTCTGTCCTCTTGCCCATTTCTGGGTCACTTGACAGAATAAAGCCTTTGAGAGATCTCCCTTTGCCCAGTTATAGTCACAAGTCCTGCTGCATGTGAACATCTCCTGAATTCCCATCCACCCTCCCTTCCCTGCCCTTGCCAAGGCAAGGGTAAAGATAATATTTCATGGCCTCATTGGCCTTATAAAATGTTCATGGGTAAATTGTACCAGGCTTTGCAAATCACACCTCTTAGCCAAGCAATAGCATAAATAAATTAAAAAAAAAAAATCTTAATGCATTTTCAATCAATATATTCTGCCCACAGAAATGCTTGTCCATGGTTCTTTGGATATAAGAAAATCCATACACTTGGCAGATCTCAAATACTCCAAGCATCGAGTCAATTTAACATTCATGAACACAAACTAAAGGCAATGCTCACTTTCACTTTAAAATAACCTCTTTTTTTCTTGTTGGGAGAATGAAAGAAAACCTACAGGAAATTAACACAACTATGTTGGGAATATCAAATAAGTGGAAAATTAATGGCCATAAAGTCTTATCAGTTGTAGGGAAGGAGGATCCAGGGTTTAACTGTTCCTTTTATGATCTTGCTCCTCAGTCAACACAGTAAAATATTGCTGGGGAGGGAAGGCCATGGCACAACTCAGGCAATAAAAATGAAGAGCTCTCCTGCAGCTCCATATAAACCCCAATCACATCCATTATCAGCAGTGCTATCTTTCCCAACATCCCATTTATTCCTGCTGGGACAAGGTCACTGCCAGCACTGGAAGCTGGAAATCAGAGTTTTCCCTGGAATTTCTTTTTAGCAGCAAGAGCTCGGGCTCTTCCCATCATTTCAAGTTGAGCAGGGCTGTGCAGAGCCCTCAAAGCAAGAACAATTTGTATGTCCCAAAAGAAAAGAGATGAAGCAGCAGAGAGGAGAAGCTCTTGAAAAGCTTTTAAGGCAAAAGCAAAAGGGGTTTGATTGTTGGACTTCCAAGAGCTGTTCCAAAAGGTTCTGGAATCTCCTGTGTTCCTGGCAGAGCTGCAAGAGAACCCTGCAAGCACCTTCTGCTGGCAGGAAAAATGAGGAACCACCAAAAAACCTCTCCCCTGAAAAAATATTGTAGTTCAAGTAATAAACATGATGACTTTTTCCAATGTACGTGGTTATTAATGGTATTTCTGATACATTTTATCAAAAATGATTTGTCCCACTGTATCCAAGCACCAGCATGACTTTGGATTCCAAACTGGAAATGAATCCCAGCCTGGTTGATAGCCAGGGCATCAGCTGCAGAGCACAAAGCAGAGGCTCAGGGGATTCCTGCACTGCCTGCTCAGCAAAAAGCCTCCACCAAATCCTGCACAAACACAGCACAACAGCAAATCCAGAGGCACTGAGGTTTCAGGAGAGGATCAGGAAAATAAAACCCTTACACATTATTTGCTTTGGTGACTCTAAGCAGTGGCTGACCACTTCCAGAAATGGTCATTTCCCAAATAATGACCAACCAGCTAAAAAAAGGCTTTAAAACTTCCATCAATGCTGTCATTTGTATTTAAAGGTTAGATTTCTCAAGGTTGTTGATAAAACTGGAGGAACTGGAGTGAATTTTCAGTCCTGTTCAGCCAGAGAAGGAAACTGAGGCAAAATCATTTCAGTGCAGTCACTTCTCCACATATCTATACTTATATACAGTTTATTTCACTAGAGATTTTAATTTTATACATAGTATAAAGGGGTATCCTGGTATCACACATAGAGTTATTTTACTGTACTGTTTAAGAACCGATTTTTTACATAATACAGTATTAAGTACCATATTAATTAAAACAAGTGATTTAAAAAAAAAAACCCTACATATAAATGGATGTTTATCATATGCACAGTGCAAGAACGGCTTGATATCATTGTAATCACAAAATGTGAATCTAAAATACAACACTGTGATTGAAAACTAATTGATAATTATGATGCCCTGTGTTGTAGACATTGATTAATCTTTGTTTGAATTACCAAGCAAGGTTAAAATTCCAGACAAACAGCAGCAGCTTCTCATTATGGTTTCAAGGTTTCTTCCACAGTAACCCAAGTTTTACAAAACACTGGTTTATCCCTACTTGTGGTTTAAGGAAACAGAAGAATGGCACAGATTCCATTTGGGATTATCTGGTAACTAATGCTAAAGAAATTCTTTATTACTTCCACACAGGAATCCTTTAAGGATGAGCGAAGAGATAAAGATGGAGAAGTTTCTGGGCACATTCTGGGCAGAATTCTCCGAATTTTAGTAAGAGAGTACAGGATTTCTCCTCTGCAAATAGGAAGACAATACTGGAATATAAATCAGGCTGTAATATTTACAGGAAACAAGTGTGGAAAAGAAAGCAATCCGAATGTAAACACCGAGGCAGAGAGGGCTTCTTCATTTTCTCTTTGCAGAGTGGGGCACTGCTGAAGATCAGCTCCTAAGGAACAGCTCTTTTCCTGGGAAGAGCCCCTTCCCCAGCACAGAATGCACGTGGTACTCATTGAGAATCCCTAACAGGTTTTCTCCCCTCCCTCCCCCCAAAGTTTCAAGTTCAATAAATAGTAGAAAAATAATCCTTTACTTAAAAATCTCGAGATGCATTGTCCCAGGTCCTGTGGGTACAGGGATCTCTCCACCTGCAGAAAAGCCAGCAGCCTTCCCTGCTCTGTCTGGCACTTCTGGGCTCTCCAGCTGCAGATTCCTGCTCTTCCAGTTAAGGAAACCAAATCATCTCTGGCTCTTTAAGCTCCCTCTGTGCTCTTGGCTCAGCACAACAAACTCCAGCTGCTGGATAAACTCCCATCCCTGTTCCTGGAGGTCTAACGTGCCTCCTGCTCCATCTGTCTCTGTGTTTTGGCAGGTCCATTCATCAAGCACGTTTCCAGGCCAGAGCCAACCTTCTATTTGTAAAAATGCAAAGTTCTGATGCCTCAGTTTGGTGGGGAAGCCTGTGAGTTTGTAACTGGGGAGCAGCACAGTCCCCGTGGCTCTGGAGTGGCATCTGTGATGTCCTCAGTGCATGGTGCCAGCAGGAGGTGGCTGTGGTGTCTCCAGTGCCAGCAGCCTGCAGGAGGTGGCTGTGATGTCCCCAGTGCCAGCAGCCTGCAGGTAGGTGGTGGCTGTGGCACCCTGCAGGTGGTGGCTGTGATGGTCCCCAGTGCCTGCAGGAGGTGGCTGTGGTGTCCTCAGCACTCAGCATCCACGGTGTGCACGGTGACAGCGGCCTGCAGGTGGTGGCTGTGGTGCAGGGTGGGGTGGTGCAGCCGGTAATGGTGGAATTTGTGGCTCAGCAGCGCTGCCGTCTGCGGGGGCGTGTCCAGCTCCAGGTCCTCGTCGTGGGTCCCCACATCCACCCCGGCCGAGAGAGGGTCGTTATTGCAGGGGGGGTTCTCGCTGTCCTCCTGAGGGCTCATCGTGCTGTAGCCTGGCAATAAACAGCAGCAGTGAGGGGCAGCAAGGCTGGATGCTCAGAATTCCCAGGGCTGGCTGGGTACCCTTCATGGAATCCACACAGGGAATAAAACTGGTTTCTTACCAGAACTAAACCCAGCAAATTCATCCCCTCCTCTAAATCTATAATGGATCCCTTTCCCTGCCACTCAGAATTCCCAGGGCTGGCTGGGCACCTTCATGGAATCACAGAGTGCTTAGAGAGGGAGTAAAACAATTATCTTAATTAACAGAACAAACCCCAACAAACTCATCCTCTCCTCTAAGTCCATACTGGATCTCTTTCCCTGCCATCACCTTTGGTTCAAAGCTTTGGGGACCTGTGGTTTGTGCCTCCCCAAACAGTAACAGCACCCATGTGTTCAACAGTTTGTAACAACAGAATTGCTGGCACTGATTTCAAACCAAAACATAAAGATACCACCCTCAAAAAATCTGTTAAAATACAGCCCAGATTTATCCAAACCAGCTGTTCCCACTCAGACCAGGCTGCAGGGCAAATAACTCCCCCTTAGCATCTCTAAATGCAAAACCAAATGAAATTTAAAAGGAAAAAGATCTTAATTGGAAATAAAGCCTTCTCAAAAAACAAGGACTAAAGGCTAAGGAAGCACTGGTGCTCCTGAGCATCTCAGTCAGGTTTTCAGCTGGACACACCTAAAAGGGTAAAAATAGCAGCTGAGTCCCCAAAGCTGCATGGCTCCCATTTCCCATGCTCTGAGTCATGGCTTGGAGTTGGCACGAAGGAATTGGGGGAAGAAGCCTGGGCAGCCCTTTGAAGAAGATGGAATTACAGAAACTAAAAATAGCAGTGCACATTCCAGATGGAGGTAGACAGCTCCCCTGCTAACCCAGGATGACTAAAAGATGGGAAGGATTTGCTGGGACTGCAAGAAAAGGAGCAAAGGGAGCATTAATCTGGTAAATCTGCCTCAGCACAGGTAATCTCACCCCAAATCCAGGGTAATTCCTCCTAGAGCAAGATTGTCTAGGAGACATCTGTTCATCCACGTTCCAAGGCTTTGGCCTTTGGGTTTCCTGTCCCAATTCCATTAGTGCAACCAGCGTCTTAGTGCTGGGCCAGCTCTGCTGGAAGGTCCCCAGCCTTGCAGAGCTGACAGCTTGCACACTGCCTTGTCCAGCCCTCCTCCTCTTCATTTCCTAATAAATTAAGCCTCCTCATGAGTCAACAGCATTACACCCTTCCAGCAGCTTTCCAGATTTAAGGAGATTTAGTCTCAGGGCAGAGGAGACACATCCCAACCCCGTGATCCTAATGGTGCCCAGCATTTGCTTAAAAGTGCTGAAGATCACAGAATCCCAGAATGGTTTGGGTTGGAAGGGACATTAAAGAGGATCCCATCCCATCCCACCCCTGCCATGGCAGGGACACCTTCCACTATCCCAGGCTGCTCCAAACCCCAATGTCCAGCCTGGCCCTGGACACTGCCAGGGCTCCAGGGGCAGCCACAGCTGCTCTGGGCACCCTGTGCCAGCCCTGCCAGGGAACAATTCCTTCCTAACCTCTAATCTAACCCTACTCTCTTTCAGTGTGAAGCCATCTCCCTTGTCCTGTCACTCCAGTTCCTCAGGGGGAAGAACCTTTTCCTGATCTCCAGCCATTCCCTGGGTCCTGGCCCTGTTCCAGGGAGCAGAGCTGCCCCATGGGAGGATGCTGAGCATCCCAGTGAGGCCTCCCCTCACAACAAACCAAGTCAGAACTGCCCAACAGCAAAGCAAGAAAGAGCAAAGCCTTTTGTCTGCCTTTGGTTCTGGCTGTCTTACCTGCAAGGAGTCAGAGTCTTGAAGGAAAACGAGCCCCCAACCCCAGAGAGAGTGAGAGCCCAGGACTCTGAAGGAAAATGAGCCCCCAACCCCAGAGAGAGTGAAAGCCCAGGATTCACTCCTGAAGGAAAATAAGCCCCTCAATCCCCAGAGGGATAAGGCCCAGAACTCCTGAAGGAAAATGAGCCCCAGTCCCCAGAGGGAGCCCAGAGAGGCCCAGGACTCACCGTGGTCGCTCTCGGTGCCCGAGCGGCCCCAGTAGCGGCGCCGGCGCTCGGGGCTGTGCGCGTGGCGCTCGATCACGGCCGCGATGAACCGAGTGTTGCTGACTGTGACAGACACAAAAGAGCTCAGAGCAGGGCCTGGCACCCACAGGGAAACAGCTCCAACCTCTGCCTCCAAGGGCACAGCCACAGAGAGGGGCAAAGAGCTGGGCATTACATGGCCAGCAGGTCAGACTCCTTCAGCTGGGCTGTGCCAGCGTCAGCATCTCATGGCAACAACGGGAGCTGACCCCAAAGGAAACAAAAAGGGACTGGAGAAGCAGGAGATGCAAGCCACGAAGCTGAAATATGCTTATTATTCCATTCTTGAGTGTTGAAACAGCTTCAAATCTTGAGTATTGTTTTAGTGAGGGCCCACAGCCAGGGATCCAGTCTGACACTGGAGCTCCCTTGGAGTTTGGGTGCACCAGCTCAACTTACAGCACACCAGGATCATGCAAAGTGCCATTTTTATTTATTTTTATTGGCTAGCAAAGAACTGTAGGCACCCCAAATCAGTTAAAAAGTATTTACTGCCATGTTTGCTAACCATACTTGCCAGACTTGGCTTCTGCTTTCTAAGGCCAAAAAAGAGGAAGAGTTTCCTATACCCTGTGCTGTCACAGTGGCAATTTTTAAGCTGATCAGAGCTATTTCTGGAAGTGCTCATGACAAGGGGTTTTAAGGGACCAAACTCCACACCTAATGGAGAATTATCTTTTAAAAGTGAAAAATGTCATTTTTCAGCATGAGACTAAATGTGCACTGGATGCTTGAATTAAAACATTGCTCTGTTTTCTGCTGATGATCAGCACAGGGCTTCCTCACATATTCAAATCTAGGGTGTTAAAAAACAAGTGGCTGATTTAATCTCCAGTTTTTCTGGTACTTACTGATTCCTCTGTCTTCATGGCTGTCATCATCCCTCTCGTCCCTGTCGTTTTCCAGGTTGGACATGCGCACTGACATTTCTACACAGCGTTACAAACAGAAAATACAAGTGGTGAGAGGAAAGTTCTGCTTCATCTTACTGCCAGCTGTCACCCCAGTATCGAGAGTGGAAGCACTTTGTGTTCCTGGTCTGAGCTGGGGGTGCTCATCCCACCTCCCCCTGAAAGGGACTGACTTTAAAGTTCTGAAGGAATTGATTTACAACAGAGCTGGGGGATGATTAAATGTAGAGGTAATTGGCTCTGATCACACTTAAATTCCCAGAATGGTTTGGGTTGGAAAGGGCCTTAAAAGCCCATTTTTTCCCACCCCCTGCCACAGGCACTATCCCAGGCTGCTCCAAGCTCTGTCCAACCTGGCCTGGAACAGCTCCAGGGAGGTGTTCTCACCTCTGGATCTTTATCTTTGTACCAGTATCCCTTCTCCCAGCACAATTCTGCCTCTCAGACTTCAGTGGTTTCATCTCTCTATGCTCAGACATTCCATGAACATCACATAGACCAGAACCAGGAAACACAAGCGAAAAAAGACACATCCCAAACCCAAGGCAAAAGGGGGGTGAAAAATGTGTCACTCCCAGCAGCTGCACAAAATAAACACGTGAGGGATCTGCTGGGCCGAGCTGCAGAAAGCTGGGATTAGTGTCTGAGCTCTGCCAAAGCTTAGCTTATCTCCTTTTGGGCCTGGGCAGGCTCCCCGGGCAGCAGCAGCAGCTCTGGCTGTACCCAGGAGAGGGCAGCAAGACACAGCCCCTGCACCACGGCTCCCTACAGCTCCAACACGGACTAAAACCAGGGAAACACTGCAACAAAACCAGGGGGAGAGCTCTGGGATTGCTTTTCCTTTGGGTTTTGTTGTGCTGCTGGGTTTTTTTTTTGGTTTTTTTTTTTTTTTTTCCCATCCTCACCCTGTGCTGCCAGCGGGGACATGTGCTGGTGGCTGCGGCGGTGGATCTGGTGCCGGTACGCGTACACGGCCAGCACCAGCACCATGATGCAGCCCATGATGCCTCCAGCCACGGGGCCCACGGGGGCACTCTTGATCATGTTCAGGGTGATCACCTCATCTCCTAAAGCAACAGGGACAAAGCACAGGGAGAAGGACACCGTGAATGCTCTGCAGGAGGGGTTAAATCGACAATATGGATCATGGAGAAACTCTACAGGGATTTCTGGGTGCTTGACTGTGCTCACTTGGAATAAGAGAAGAAACTCAGAGAAGCCCTCCAAGGATTTCTGGGTGCTTGACTGTGCTCACTTGGAATAGCAGAAGGAATTCAGGGTGCAGGAAGGGTTAAATCAGCAATATGGATCATGGAGAAACTCTATAGGGATTTCTGGGTGCCTGACTGTGCTCACTTGGAATAGCAGAAGGAATTCATAGAGAGTGAATCTTAAAGACAGGAATTCTTAAGGACAGGAATGCTGAGTTACACTCAGCTCCACATCATGATATTCATCATGTCTTTGCTGCCTTTGATGCCTCAGCATCTGACCTTGCTGATCGGCAGCAGGGAGCAATGCCAAACCAAAAATCCTGATTTTTTTTTTTTTTTTAATGTGCCATAAAATATATAGAAAAATACCCAAACCAGAAAAGAACTGGGAAGATGACAGAAAACCACTTCCCTTCCCACTCTTTATGCTGATTTAGCACCAGGCTAAGAGGTAAATGTTACATGCAGAACCTGCTGCACGTTCTGGAACACAAACAGCTGGAGGCAGCAGCTGCTGAGAAAGGCAGAGTTACCTATTGCTCCCAGGTCATCCACATAGGGACTCTTGGCTCCCACAATGCCACCAAAGCATTCCTTCTGGGGGGCACAGTAGGACTTGTCCAGGTGGGTCTTCCCATCACTGTCCACCATGCACCACTCACAGTCCAGCACTCCAAAGCAATCCCTGCATGGGAACATCCAAGTAAGACATGGTTCCTTTCCACTTGAACACCTCCCCTTTGCAAAGCTCAGTCTGGTTTAGAGCCATGAGACAGAGGGAGGCCTAAAGCATTTGTAAACCCTCAAGTATGTGAGTTTAGCCAGAAAAAATTCCAGTAAGTGCTCAAGTACCACAAGGGAAGTTACACAGGGAAGCTGCATTTCCAGCATCCCTTTTCCAACTCTGTCTGCTTTGGTATTTTCCTGCACCACTCAGCCTGAGCAAAAGGAGAATCCTACTTGTAACTCCTCCAATAAGACATTTCTCAGTGTGGTGAAGTCTGGCTGCAGTTCCAGCCTTTCTCTGCAGCCTTGATTTGGGCAGTCTGGTCAGAGCATGGTGTGTTTTACCCATCCCAGGTCCCTGGAGACTGCTCCTAACGAGCAAAACTGAGCCCTCAATGCCAGGAGTAGAACCTCATTCTGGCATCATGCTTTATTTTCCTGTATTTTTTTCTTTATAGCTATTTGCCTTAGATGATTTCCACAAGAGAGTATTCCCAAGGGTGGGGAAGGCCACCTTACCCACTCTCTGTCCTCTGGTTGCACTGGGTGTTGATGCACTGTGGGAGTGCATCCTGCAGGCTGGGATCAATGGCTGTGAAAGTCATGGGCTCCTGATGCACCTCACAGCTGGGGTTCCTGCATTGGAGCAAAGAAAAGCCTGGTGTCACAAGGGCACTCAAAGCACAAGCAATTAAAATAATCTTTACCTATTGCATCTGCTTAATTGTACTGAAAATTCTGCCTGTTGGATCTCAGCAGGACAAATGGGATTTGTTCTTGGCTCTCACCTGCTCTCAGCGTTGGTCAGGTTCCCAGTGCACTCGTTCACCTCCAGTGGGCACTCACAGGGACACTCACACTCGTTCTGTTCCATCCTGCAGGGCAGAAAACATGGGAAAAACCCATCAGACACCACTGGGATTTTAACCCCACAGTGGTGCAGCTCTGGAGCAGCAATTCCCAGGGAAAAAGCTGTCCAGGGATTGCTCTGTCCTGCACCAGAACTGAGGGTGACCCATCCCTAGAATTCCAAAAGCAGACAGTCCTTCAAATATTTGGATGGAAGGATCCTTCCTGGCAGTGCCACAAACACTTCAGGATGGTGTGGGCAAAACCTCCTGGATCCCTTCAATGAAAACCCTCAATCCATGAGAAAATCATGGGAATTTCTATGCCAGAAGAAAGGAGCTCACTCACAGGTAACTGCTCTGGAGCCACTGAATCTCTCAGTGTCTTCCAGCATTATCCACACAGCCTCCCCTGGGTTAAACTCTCTGACAACGTGGCAGAGATTCCCCAAGCCCCTGCACCTCTTACAGGGAGCACAGACAGAGCAACTCTCCTTTTCCCTGGTTTTGCACTGAATTAATTGCTGAATTCACTGTGCTCTTACAAACCCCAGAGCAGGGGAGAGGGCAGGAGTTGTGGTCACTGCACTGCAAGGAGAGAGAAAGGACAGCAACACCCACGGAGCTCTTTGGGGAAAAAAGGCCAATTTATTGTACACACAGCCCGGATTTAAAGTGTGTCAGTGCAGCCAGGACAGGACAGGAGCTCATTGGACACGGCAAAGACACCAGGGGTTAATGATGATGATGAATTCCACTCTGTTTGTCACCATGTTATCACTCCCTAACTGAAGCTGCAGTCAGCTGGTCAGCCTGGCAATGGAGCTGAGAGTCAGGAGGAAATCCATTCCTGAGAAGAATTCCCAAGCTGGAATTCCCTAGCTCTGTGAATGTGTGTGTGCACAAGGAGTGTCCCAGCCCAGGCCAGCGCTGTCACCTGTGGCAGTTGAGGCACAGCCTGTCCACCATGCTGCAGGCACAGAAGGCCAGCGAGTCACACGTCTCGTTGACGATGCCCACGAAGGCGTTGGTGCCCGGGATCCTCGTCAGTCTGTACTTGGAGCAGTGACTGCCATGCACGAGGTTGGTCAGGTCACCCTGGGCAAAAACAAAATGTCAGTGGGGTAAAATGTTGGTTTAGGGAGCTGAAGATTCTTCCCCTTCCCGAAGGATCTTGTAGAGCTGTGGGGACACGAATTCTGCCACAGTTTCCAGAGGTGGTGGCTCCCCTCGAACCTCATGGGTTTGCCACCCTCACAAAAACAGAAGCTGATTAAGGGGTGGGTGAGTTTTGCTTTCCAGATACTTCTGGGTTAAAAGACTTAGCTGAAGATAGAAAGGAATTGGCTTAGCTTGTGAAAATGAGATGTGGCAGCAGAGGTGACATTTCACTCCTTCCCAGTGCTCTCTGACCTGTCCCCACTGTGCCAGCCCTCAGTGACCATCCCAAAGGCTCTGATGGGAGCCACCACCATGTGCTGGAAACGTCCTGAGCCTTAAAAAAAAGCCACCACAGCACTGCCCAGCTCCTGTAGGCTCCTTCCTGATTCCTTTTTACAAGTTTCTGCTCCATCCTACTCAATTTCCTTCCCAATACCACACATCCCACTTGGCATTTCAAGTGTGGGGAAAATGTTTAAGCCAACCTGACATAAATCAATGCATTTTGACATGATTTGCAAATATTTTCAAATCTTCTCCCACAGAGTAACAGCTTTGGAATCATTGTGGAGGAACTTTGCCAGGGTGGATCTGTGGCTCTGTGAGGGATGACAGCCCCTGGTTTAGACTCCTCACATGAGGAAGCTCACACAGGATCCATGGAGAGCACAGAGTGTGCAGGATCTCAGAGATCTCAGTCTCACAAATGACAGCCTGGAAATGCTCACCAGTAAATGGATTTATTTGGACACCTAAAGATAAGTTATTAGAGACCTCACAGGAAGATGTGACACTCCAGGTCAGAGCTGGAGCCAGAGGTCAGCTCACATCCAAAGCAACACTAGAGCTGGAAAATCCTCACCCAGCGACAGCAAACTGCCCTTCTTTCCCTGATGCTGGCTGAGACCCTGCAGGCAGCAGCCACACTTGGCCAGGGCTCCCATCCATAACCCCTGGATGTCAGGGGACTCTGTTTGTGCAGCCTGGTTTGTGTCTGGAGAAGGCAAACAGAGGCCAATCCCCACGGAGGGCTGGCTCCCAGCCCCAGCTTCTGAGCCTGCCAGGGACTTGTGTTTCCACCAGAAGAAACCCAAGCCAACCAAAGTACACCCAAAAGGAAACTCAGATAGAAAAGCAGGCTCACCACTAAGCTGGTGTTGAATTTGTAGAAGCGCTGCACGGTCCTGTCGCTGAAGCTGTTGCAGAGGTTTTTCTTCACGAAGTTGGGGTGGTTCAGGATGTCATTTGCTACCAGAGGCTCCTAAGGGAGGAAAGCAGGATTTGATGCCTTTGGAATGAGACCCAAAGAGCAGCTCAGGAATGAGAGCTATGGAATAAGGCAGGGGAAAGCAGGCAGACCTTGTGTGTGATGTGCTGCTGCTCCACAGGAGCGTGGCCCTTGGGGTCGATGAGGGTCGGATGAGCCACCAGGTACCCCCTGTCCTCCATGATGAAGCACCTGCCCCCCAAAACACAGCAAGAGTCTCCTGTTAGACCTCTTTGGGCTCCAGGGGAACAGGGTGAAATAAAACATGGTCCTAAAGGGCTTTTAAAGGTTTTCCATTTAACAGGGCCATGGAATAAATTCCCTACAAAATGTCCTTAAAGAATGTGTTGGGTATTTCCCTGAAGCTTTTCCATCTGTTACTGCTCCAGACAGCCAGGGCCATGAAGGAGTTGAAAACAGAGCTGATTAAAACCAGAAAGGAAAAACCATCAGTGCATTGTCTGATTGGGGAAGAGCCAGGAATGAACAGAGCCTAATGAACCTGGAAAGCTTTAATGGTTTATTAATTTACTATGTGACTAATTAAAGAGAGATTTCACACTCTCCTTTAATGCCCTCCCCCTTCACAATTCGATTTTAGTGGGGGATAAATCACTCCTGTTCCACTCCCAGCCTTCCCAAGCTTTCCTCTCCCTTTCCAACTCTTCCCACGTTGGATCTGTGTCCCAAATCCAGAATCCAGGCAAATTCAATCCATCCCTTTTTTCCCCCCTCTCCCGTTTCCATGGCCACAGACAAAGGCTCGGGAGCCCTGGCCGGGGGGTGGCACCGACATCAGGGACTCGGTGGCCACAGAGGGGACATCGAGAGGTTAAAACCCCACTTGATGTTCCCAAAAGCTCAGCAGGGTGGCAGCCACAGCCCTGGCACAGCGGGAATCGGGGCTGGAGCAGCTTTCAATGGGATTCCCATGGGATGTGTCCACGGGGGGAGCACAGAGCAGGGGAAGCCTCTGTGCTCTTTAGGGGTACAAAAGCAGGCAGGAAAACCCGGAATTTTGGGGGGGGGGTTCCATTAGAAATACACGTAGGGATGTGGTGTTTGCTCTTTTTCTTGCTCTTCTTCCTAAAATCTTTAGGAGAGAGAGACTAAAAACCCCAAACACCTGCATTTAAATCGAGACTGGAAACATTGGATGTGATTTCTACATCAGAATGGTCCAACACTGAACAATATTCTCAAAATTCCTCATTTGGGGAAGGCAGGAACAGAATAAAGCATCTGACCTTGCTGATCAGCAGAAGTTTTTTACTGGGAGGGAGCGATGCCAAACCAAAAATCCTGATTTTTGTTGGTTTTTTTTTTTTTTTTAATGTGCCATAAAATATATAGAAAAATACCCAAACCAGAAAAGAACTGGGAGGATGACAGAAAACCACTTCCCTTCCCAAATTTAAGGTTTAAAAACAAACAAGGAACCAACAGCAATGCTCAAACCACGTTATCAAGTTACTCCAGATCCAAACCAGAATTTATCCCACCCCCACAGGATTTTTCAAAACAGGAACAATTAAGATACCCAGGGGTCTGACTGAAATTGGATACTCCAGATGAAGTCAGACTTCTTCTGCCTAGGCTGTGCTATGGATTTCTGAGAAAAACATCCCAAAAGTGTATTTGAATAATTGGAGTTAAAATAACTGAGATCCTGTATCATTCTTACACGCTCACAGGAACTAAATAGGTAAAATTAAAACAAACAGAAGAACTGGGAAGTGTGTTCATTTAATAAGGAATGTTGTTTTTACCCAGAATTTCAAAGAAGTCTAAATATAACCAAAAAAAAATCAAATCAAATCAAATCTGTTATCTTCTGCTTTTGTAATCCTGCAGATTGTTTATTTAGCTGATGGCAGTTTGATCTGGAATAACAAAAACATTATTTTTTTTTTTTTATGAGAAGGACAAGCACAAGTTCTACTGGAAATCAGAGAACACACACTGAAACTAACAGAACCCTTGGAGAAATGAAGTTGGAAAGGACCTCTGGTTAAAAAAAAAAAATAAAAAAAATTGTATTTATTTTGTGCCTGGCAGGAGCAGCTTTTACCTGATTTTGTTCCCCCCATCTTGGTTACAAACTGGCAGCAGGTCCATGAGGACTTTGTAGAAATATCTGAGGGTGAAGTCAATGCCCATCACAGCCACGGAGTGTCCTGAGGACATCTGAGCACTGCAGTGAGGGCAAAGGGAAAAATTATAAAATTATAGATAATAAAAAGTATTATTATTCAGGGCTGGAAGAATAATAATAATAATAATAATAATAATAATAATAATAGTAATACTACTACTACTACTACTACTACTACTACTACTACTACTACTAATAATAATAATAATAATAATAATATTTCCTGGTTTAGTCTGCCCCTTGTACAGCCAGCCCAGGAGTGGATCCCACCCTACACACACCCCCACCACCTACAGACATTGAATGCTGGGTGACAGAAATTAGGATTAAACATTTCCCATCCACACAAAAAAAACAGCTCCTGTATTTTTCAATCCCACCCATGTGCAAGGAGTTACCTGCACCCCTCCTCTGCTCAGCCCCCAGCAGGAGGAATGAATATGAAGTTAATATGAATATGAGTTAAATCCCTCAAACTCCAGAGTGTGGGAGTGATTATGAATGGCAGGCAGAAAATTCGAAGAAAATAACATTTCTTAAGGTGAGTTATGAAGAGGATCCTGTGATGTGGTGCTGTCCTTTCTCCATTCCTGACACCCCAGTTCTCCCAGTTTGCTCCCAGCAGCACTGAGAGGGCACAGCCAGACCAGTCCCCTCCCACCCCTGCAGGACACAAAAGGATCAGAGCTCAAGGATGTGGACTTTACACCTCTGACTTGCTGCTCTTCAAAATTCACTTTTCTCCTTTATTTTATCTCTGAAGGCAGGAATAAAAACGTTTAGAAAAAGAAAAAAAAATTTAAAAAAAAAAAAAAAAGATGCTGCAAGGCACAGCTGGACTGCACAAACAGAGCTCTGGCCACCCCTGCTCCATGGAAACCCAGCTCTGTTTACTGGGCTGAGCTTTGTTTGCTTTCCAAAGAGGTGCAGTGGAGATGTAGTCAAATCTCATTTGTAGACAGATAAATACAAGTTTTTAAAACCTGCATTGAATTTATTGTTCCCATTTCCTGGAGGGGGAATGGAAGGATGGCAGGGAAGCAGCACAGACACATTTCATGTGTGACAAGGCACCCAGCTCTGAAATTCTGCTGTGTCCTAACAGACATAAAGCCATTAGAATGGTGTAAATATTTTAGCTTCATTTCTAACCATTAAATCCCTCTGCTTTGCTGATGCCAACTGCATTAAACCACATCAGGCATAAATCTTCTCTTCCCAGCCTCCATAAAAAGAAATAAGATATACATAAAATGGGAATGAGAGGTGTCAGCTCTGGCTGCCCTGATGTGGGTATTTAAACCCTCCCAGCAGCCCTTAATGCCAGAATTCCTGTTAACTCCACGGATTCCTCCCCACCCCTGTGGATTTTGAGCTCAGGCCTCTTTGGGGATTATAACCACATGTGACTATGAGCTTCAGAGGTCATATTTACCCAGGAATCACACTCACATCTGCCAAACTTTGTTTAACTGTTCTTTAATCATGTTCTAATAACCCACAGGAGCTTTAAGTTCTTAGAGCTGAGTAAACCATCCCTTGCTAGATAAAAATCAGAATTTTGATTAATTGCACTTCTCTCCTTACAGAAGTGCTCGTTTCCCCTGAGTAAATTCCTCTGGGAGAAGCACCACGCAGGGGCTGGGGCTGAAAATGCCCAAACACACAGCAGAGGTGGCTGTGCTGGGAAATCCCACCCAGGGGAAACAGGGGAATCTCTGGGAAGAGTGGAGGAGCCACATCCTGCTCCCTGCTGGATTTGGGATCCCTGATTCCCAGTCCAGCACTGGAAGTTCCCTTTGTACTGGGTAGGGAGCTTGGAGAGACTCCATGTAAAAAACCAGGAGAGGTAACTGCTATTTTTGGGAATTTGGGAGAGCTTGTGACAGCAAGGTTTGGTCCATGTTTTATTAACTGGGCTCCTTTAAACATCCTGCATCCCAAATCCTGGCCTCAGGCTGGGGCCTGGCCAGGAGGGAGCTGGAACAGCAACAGTCTGGTCCTCCAGGAAAAAGTCATTTCATAGAATCATGGAATGTCCTGAGCTGGAAGGGACCCACAGGGATCATCCAGTCCAACTCCTGGCCCTGCTGCTCCCACTCCAAAACGTTCCCAGCAAACCTGGAAGGGCTCCTGGACATTCCCAGGCTTTGCCTCAAGATCTTTCTCCTCCTGGAAGGCCAGAAGTGCTGGATTTAAGCAGCCCAGGAGAGGAGCTCCCCAATCCCTGCAGTAAGGACAGCTCTGTCCCTAACCCCCTTTGTGCCTGGCCTCTCTGCCCTTGGAGCAGCTTCCAGTTCCCTTCCAAACACCTCCCTGCTCCTTCAAACCACACAAGTGGAGGTGTGGGGAACTTCAGGAAATGTGAGGCTTGGCAGTACTGATGGAGAAGGATTTAACTTCCAGCTGAGAAGGGAGGGAACACTTCCCAAACTGCCTCAGGAGAGCAATCCCTGTCCTC